GTCATGCATCCACAGATGCATCTCAGTCAGGTCTAAGGAGGTGATCCCCCCCCAACCCCACCCCACCCCCACTCTATGCGACACTGGTCAAGTCACAGTTGGAGTACTGCGTCCAGGTTTGGGTGCCGCACTTCAGGAGGGATGTGGACGGCATCGAGAGGGTCCAGAGGAGGGCCACTCGCATGATTAGGGGGCAGCAAGGCAGGCCCTATGAGGAGAGGCTAAGGGACCTGAACCTGTTCAGCCTCCACAGAAGAAGGCTGAGAGGGAATCTGGTGGCTGCTTATAAACTTGCCAAGGGGGACCAGCAGGCAATGCGAGAGTCCCTGTTCTCCCAAGCACTACCGGGGGTAACAAGGAACAACAGCCATAAGTTGATTGAGAGTAGATTCAGGCAAGATATCAGGAGGCACTACTTCACTGTCAGGGTAGCTAGGAGCTGGAACCAACTTCCAAGGGAAGTGGTGCTTGCCCCTGCCCTGGGGGTCTTCAAAAGGAAGCTAGACAGCCACCTAGCTGCAGTCATTTGACCCCAGCATCCTTTCCTGCCCATGGCAGGGGGTCGGACTAGATGATCTACTTAGGTCCCTTCTGATCCTACCAACTATGAAACTATAAGAAAACTGGGGATCTCTGCTGCAGACTTTATCTGCCTTCACAGCTGTTGAGCTTCTAACATCTTCTTCTGCCTGCTCCACTGTTGAGGACATGTAAACCCATGGCTGGGGGCTGGACAGGCTTATTATAGTGATGACCTGTACTCACCATGTCACAGCAACATAAAAGGATATATGTGGCTTTTCAGGAGGGAAACCATTATCATGTGCTGTCCTCACCCTGTTTTGATGGTGCTGCTGCTGCTTGGTCCACAACTGCTTATTCATCAGAGTAAGCCCTTTTTATATCAGCTAACTTTCCTTGAAGGTCATTCCACTATCCACTACCTGTGGATGTGTTGGGTAGCAGTACAGCCCTGCCCCACAAGAGTGAAGTATATGGTAAATCACAAACCTTTTGGCTTAGGACTAATATCATGCATAGTTTATATTTTCTCTAAGTAGGTACTAAAGTGCTATTTAAAACTGTGTTTATGGAGTACTTGTGTTAAAACTTGCAGCAGTTTCAAAAAAGGTGAAATCTATCAATCTGGGTCCTTGGTGACAATTTTTATTTGATCTTTTCAGTACACATCGGTAAAAAGGTAGGTTATTAATGATACATTACATAAGCCAAAGCTATAGCATACTCATCTTCTGTTATTAATAAAGAACAAGTTAGCATGTCACATTTCTGTAAGTAATATTTTTTATCTTGGTGTTCTAGCCATTCTGCTCATCTACAGTTCTGAGGAAGAACATACAGAACAGTTCGCTGAGTGTACAACTTTAGCCATTGAAGGCATTGCATGCATCTATGATGCATTCAGCCATAAAACAGACTTTTCAGTAAAACTTAGTTGTCTCTGTTTAGTCACCATGAACCAGGCTTTATATACCCAGCTGTTATTTCTATCCTCAGAATACATGAAAATACACTCTTTAAAATTATATTAATTTTAGTACGGTAGCTACATTTTAAATTTAGATTCATAGATTCATAGATGTAGTGTCGGAAGGGACCTTGTAGATCTTCTAGTCCGACCCTCTGCCCTGGGCAGGAGAGAAAACTGGGCTCAAATGACCCCAGCTAGGTAAACGTCAAGCCTCCTCTTGAAGACTCCCAAGGTAGGAGCCAGCACCACTTCCCTTGGAAGTTGGTTCCAGATCCTAGCCAGCCTGACTATGAAGGTAGTACCTTCTGTCTAGTCTAAACTTACTCTCTAACAATTTATAGCCGTTATTCCTTGTTACTCTGGGAGGCACTCAAGGGAACAAAGCCTCTCCCAATCCCTGCTGGTCCCCCCTAGTAAGTTTATAGACTAGGTCCCCCCCAGCCTTCTCTTGCAAAGGCTGAACAGGTTAAGGTCCCGTAGCCTCTCCTCATAGGGTCTGCCCTGCTGTCCCTGGATCATGGAAGTGGCCCTTCTTTGGACCCTCTCAGTGCTGTCCACATCCCTCCTGAAGTGCGGCACCCAGAACTGGATGCAGTACTCCAGCTGCGGCCTGACCAGTGAGCAATAGAGGGGGAGGATCACCTCTTTGGCTCTGCTCGTGATGCATCTGTGGATGCTTGACAAGGTACAGCCCTACTGATCACGTCCTCACATTGTCGGCCCATGTTCATCTTGGAGTCAGTAATGACTCCAAGTTCTCTTTCTGCCACCGTGCTTTCGAGAAGGGAGTTCCCCAGCCTATAGGTATGCTTCTGGTTCCTACTGCCTAAGTGCAGCACCCTGCATTTGTCAGTATTGAATCCCATCCTATTTTCATTTGCCCACCCCTGTAACCTGTCCAGGTCCCTCTGTAATCTGTCCTTCCCTTCTAGTGTGCCCACCTCACCCCAAATCTTGGTGTCATCTGTGAATTTAAACAGGGTGCTTTGCACCCCATTGTCCAAGTCGCTAATAAAGAAATTGAACAGTGCGGGCCCAAGGACCAACCCCTGGGGGACTCCACTGCCCACTTCCCTCCAGGTCGAATATGACCTGTCCACCACCACTCTCTGACCCTATAGCCAATTTGCAATCCATCTGACTGTGTAGGCATCAATGCCACAGTCACTTAGCTTTTTAATGAGAATGGGGTGGGAGACAGTGTCAAAGGCCTTCCTGAAGTCCAGAAAAACTACATCCACTGTGACACCTGCGTGCAATGATTTTGTGACCTGATCATAGAAGGCAATCAGGTTGGTCTGACAGGATCTCCCCCTAATGAAACCATGCTGGTTGCCCTTGAGCATCATCCCTGCTGCTGGCCCATCACAAATGTGCTCCTTGATAATCTTCTCAAAGAGCTTCTCCCGGATTGAAGTAAGACTAACGGGCCTATAGTTGCCTGGGTCCTCCCTCGTCCCTTTTTTAAAGATGGGGACCACACTGGCCTTCTTCCAGTCATCCAGCACCTGGCCAGAGCACCATGAGTGCTCGTAAAGCCATGCCAGGGGCCCCATGATAACCCCTGCCAATTCCCTTAACAGCCTGGGGTGGAGAGCATCTGGACCTGCTGATTTGAACATGTCCAGCCCCTCCAGAAGATCCTCCCTGACCCTATGCCTGGCGGAGTTTCTCCTGAGTCTGTCCTGAATCTTGGTAGGGGAGTTCTGGTCCCTGCACAAGAAAACGGAGGCAAAAAAATTGTTAAAGAGGTCTGCTTTCTCCTCTGGTGCAACCACCAGATTGCCAAGCATATGCTGCAAGGGCCCCACATTACCTGGGGCCTTCTTCATACTCCCTATATATTTAAAAAAAGACTTTTTGTTATCCTTGATCCTTGATGCAAGCCCTAGTTCTGTATCTGCCTTAGCTTTCCTAACAGCCCCCCTACAGATCCAAGTGGTGGAGGTACACTCCTTTTTGGTGATAGCCCCTCCCTTCCAACAGGTGTATGCCTCCTTTTTAGCAATCAGGCATTCCCAAATGCCCTTGGTGAACCAGGGGGGCTTTTGGGCACTCTTGCCCCCTTTGCTTCTCATTGGGATTGTCACCCCTTGGGCTCTGAGTATCATCTCCTTAAGGAACGACCACTCATCTTGGGCACCCAGTTCCCCTACTCTCCAGGACCTCAGTACCTCTCCCAGTAATCTCCTCAAGTCATTTAAGTCAAGGGCTACTGCCTTGCTGCAGGCCCTTGACACCCTGCGCTGGATGGTGAATTCCATCAAGCGATGATCCCTATTGCCCAGGTGGTCGATGACCTGGAGTCCCCTCACCAGGTCGTCACCTGTGGCCAGGCCCAGGTCCTGCAGGGCATTCCCCCTGCTGGGACTGTGCACCTCCTGAGTTAAGTGGAGGTCCTGTATTTCAGCAAGGAACCTTCATGAGCGGTCAGACCTGGCTGACTGCTCCTCCCAGCAGATGTCCAGGTAATTTAGATCACCCATGACAACTACATCCCTTGCCTTAAGTGCCTCCGCAAGCTGACCCGAGAATTTGCGGTCCATCTCTTCCCCTTGGTTGGAAGGTCTGTAGTAGACCCCCACCGTTAAGTCCCTTTCCCCATGACCCCCACAATAAATTGTTTTATTTTCATTTGACCCTGTATGGACAAATATATGGACTTCAGAGGTGACAAGACAAAGTATTTATGAGATCGTAAAGTGATATCCTGGGTGCAACTTTTTAAAAACTGTGTGTGTTTGTGTGTGTCTGTCTCTGTCTGTTATATAAATAACTTCAAATTACAGCCTAATTCCGTAGTATTGTGCTTCTAAATCTGCTTCTGGAATAAAAATGAAATTGTATAAAAACTTTTACTTTAAATTCTTACTTGACATTCTGAATTTTCATGCTATTTACTGTAGGAAATCAGTTGGAGGAAATTTTAGTGATGTAAACTGAAACCAAGGTACCTGAAGAATTTATCAGTAATGCTCAGAAATGAATGTTATGTGCATATCCTTGTTTTTAAAATAAAGTTATTCTATTTTCTTCACAACCACTTGGTTAAATGAGCTCAGAAATATTTTGTTGGATTAGGGTCTTCATAATGTTCCAAGTGCTTTAAAACCATTTTGGGTGATTTAAATTGTGTGGTTCTACTCTCCAAAAAACAAATGATTCACCAAATCTACAATAGCTTCAGGGCCCAAATTTAGTCAATACAAGAGTACTTAATCAGAAAATGAACATGCTGGCTCCCTCTGAGGAGCCAGAATTTTCTTTTCCCCCATAGATTTTGCGGGTATTGCCCAGATTTTGCGGAATCCACGAAATCCGCTGAATTGTGAATTTGGTAGGACCCTAACTGTGAAAGTGTCTCTGCTTAAACATATGGAAATAAAGCTTTCAATTTCCATCTATGGTGGTTTTAAAGTAGACTTAATCAATTCTATGAGTAAATTGCATATGGAGTATATAAATGAAAATCACCTAAAAATTACTTTGTATGCTTTATCCTCCACAGAACGACATCACTCCATTACATGTCGCATCCAAGAGAGGAAATGCTAATATGGTCAAACTCCTGCTTGATCGAGGAGCTAAAATTGATGCCAAAACAAGGGTAAGATTAAATATGAATGATATTTTTTACAGCTAATTCCTTTGGCATGTAGTTCTTTTGCTTACAGAACAGACTTAATTCACGTAGAAAGTTTCATAGAATGATTTTCACAATGTTTTTTCATTAAACCATATTTGAAACACATTGCCTAATAAAGCTCAGACCTAACTTTTACTACAGGAAAGCAATACTATGTTATATACAGTATTTCATTCTTGAGGGGGAATGGTTCTCACTCCCCTGTAACTGCAGTTGGTTGGTTCGTCAGTGTGCTTGAAGGACTTGCAGTTCCTTCCTTTTGCCTGAAAAAATGTTTGGTGGAGGTTGTTTTCTTCCACTTTCATAAGAATCTTTTTTTGTCTCCCCCCTGGATCAAATGCAGGGTAAAATATGTTGGACTAACCCACCTGACCCACCTGACACGTGGAGTCTCCTGCTTAGCTGTAGAATCATACAGCCCAGATACAAGTGGTGATGGGAGCATCTTATAGAGATGAGAGTGATTTAAATCCCTGTCCTATTCAGTGCTTAGCTACTTCATTGGGAGTATCCCTGTGTTCCATCAAGGAGGATGCCTCTAGAGAACATCAACATATTTGGTTATATGCTACTTGAACTGTGATGAAATATGACTTGTTAAATGGGTAAAAACTCATTAAGGTAGGATTTTTGATACTTTATTTCACTAGCAACCAAAATAATTTAAGAAAACATAAGACAGATGCTGCTATAATCCCTGCCTCCAGCTCTGTAAGTGGTTCTTGCCTGTGCACATGAAAGATTTTGAGTAAATGGGAAGTGTTGCAATAGCTTTACCTGTCATACATTTGGCAGCTTCATTTTTCTTGGTGAAACATTAATTTTTCATCATCCATTACAATATACTTTTTTTCGATAATTACCCAATAAAAATTCTAAACAGTAAAGATATTTGGCTAAAGAATGCCTTTTATGTAGTTTAGGTAGTTTTTCTTGTGTTCAAAAGTCTGAGATCTGATGCAAAATGTGTTTAGGCACATTCATGTTTTTGATTGATTGTTCGTATTCTGTCATATATTTAAAATCAGAATCACCTCTTCAGAAACAGGATCAATTAAGCATTTCTTCTTTTGTCAGTCTTCCACAAGTTGTTGTTTTTTTCCTTCTCAACATACCTTTATCAAAGGCTCCTGATTTCCACTTCTTTAAATGAATGAATTTCCACTTCTTTAAATGAATGAATATAAGTGAAGTAATATCTCTTTAATCATTGTAGCGTGTTCTGGCCAGTTTCCTTTTTACTATATACTACCAGAATCCTAGAGTGTTGCAAAGGTCTGGCACCTCTGTTTTATCTAATCTCTTTGCCAAGTTCACATGAATTGTTTGTCATCCTTTGGTTATATGTAATGCCCAGCAAATTGATTAACTGTATACATCTGTTACATAGGTGGTGATGTACCACACTGCAGCTCTTAGGGGTGTGCAAAGCAGGCCCTATTCATTGGGATTTGGATTCAGCCCAAATCAGGGACAGTGATTCGATTAGTTGATTCAGATCACTGTCCCTGATTTAATTCAGCTGAATCCAAATCTGAAGATTCGATGCTGATTTGGAGAATCAGTGATTTCGACACAGACACAGCTTTAAAAGTTTTTTCTACATACCTTGAGGTTGCAGGCATGGCTCATGAATGCTGTAATGCAAGGGTGCATGGAGTGTCCCACAGGAGTGTGGGGGGCCCCTCCATGTGCTCGGCGGCAAACCTGGAAGTGGACCAGAAGTGCTTCCAGTCCACTTCCGGGTCTGCCAGGGAGCATGTAGGGGGGGCCCCCCCGCATCCCCCTGGCTTGGCAATCAGCCACAGGGGGACACTGGGTGCCCCCCCCTGACCCAGGAGGCACCAGTTGCCAAGCTGGGGGCCCCCTGCACAGTCCCTGGTGGACCCAGAAGTGCTTCTAGTCTACTTCTGGGTCTGCTGCTGTGTGTGCTGGGGAGCCCCCCGTGCTCCTATGGAATATTCTGTTTGCCCCAGCACTGCAGCATACATGAGCCCCTGCTACCTAAAGGTATGTAGAAAAAACATTTAAAGCTGTCTCTATGTCTGAATCACCGAATCTCTCCGAATCAATTTGGGGGGTTCCGATTCGATTCGGAGAGATTAAAGGGTCCTCTGTTTCAATTTGGATTCAGAGATTAGGCCACCGAATCAGGCTGAATCTCCACCAAATTGAATCGGGGACCGAAGCTTTGCGCAGCCCTAGCAGCTCTGTAGATTAATGGTACCTAAATAAATATTTTTGCTTGCATCAGTTGGTATTTAAAGCAAATTATAGTATATACAGTCTGCAAATTCTGCTAATCTTTGCTTTTCCTTATATCATATTTAGATTTTTTTATGTTTAAATTCTTAAGTTTTTATAAAGTTTGATCATTCAATAATCTGGGGTCATTTTCTACCGTTATTAAAATACATGACATTAATTTAGATTTACTGCATATGGCCTGGGCAAAGTTGTAGTGCCTACAATTAGGCAAAGTTGTAGTATCTACATGACTAATCATCCAAGGAGAAACAAGCTTTAAGCTGCTCATGCGATATTGCAAATTTTTTCCATTTTGAATTTTAGTATCTTAGGTAACTTTTTATGTTTAGGCCAGAGTGCTCCCAAGAACCATTCCCAGAAAGCACAGCCTGCTATCCCTCTCCTAATTTAATCAAAAGCATGGGTTATCTATGGCCAAATACTATCACTGCATCACTGCACTTTTAAACTTAGTTTGGCAAAGTGCCCTTCATGTATTCATTACGTTTCCTCACTTATCACAGCAGTATTTTTTTTTAATTTGTGATTGCTCTGAAACAGAAAGTTGTGGCGGGGGGTTGAGGGGGTTCTTCATCTGTTATATGTAGTTTTTGTTACTACTTGCTGTGTTTTATCCTACCAACTCATCGTAAATTCCTGTCTGCATGTCTACCAGTCCATCTCACTTACATATTTGTCTGGGTCCCCATCACCCAAATGTTTGAGTATCTCTCACTCTTTAATATATGTATTGATGATAAAGCACAGGATGATTTTATCGTGTTTACATATACACTGTTACTGCTTGCCCCATATTATCTGGCTGTGTGACAACCAGTGGGACCTATGATTTTGACAGCTTGTTTATAATTATTAAGGGACATTCAGTTTGAAATTCTAATCATACCACGTATTTCCATACTCAAAAATAATTACTGTATCTTTGCAGGTCTGTGACCAGTAGTTCATGATTAGTTTCAGTTTCAAGTTGCAGCTGTAGAAGAAATCATAAAACGTTGTAGTCACACGCATCTCTTTCTTGATGTTGACATTCATTTTGTTTTTGTCACTATCACATCTCTAGCATATATATTCTATCAGTCACTCATTCCCATGATGCTGTAGCACTGCTGCTGGCAGCTTTTGAAATACATAGGGAAATACTTGATCTATTTCATGGGGTCAGAGTATTGAAGTACCTGTCAGTGCCTGAATCAAATCCTGTCAGTACCTGATTCAAATCCTCATTCTCTTTTGGGCTGTGCCATTCCAACCCATTCTGTATCATAATGAAATCATTTTCCACGTGAATTGTTTGAACTACACAACTGAGTATGCATTTACCAACATAGGTCAACATTCTTGTAGCATCTGAACTCCCTTTTTTTAACCTTCTAGTCCCTACAGGTGCCATATCACCTGAATCCTAACATCATTACATGCAATCCTCCTTATTATTGTTTTCTTGCATAAGTACAGACTTGCTGAAACTTATGCTTGGCCTTGTTCAGTTTACAGTTACTACTACTCTTTGCACACTAGTCCTTACAGTGTCCAGGACTTGCTATAATCATCCATGCTGTGAAAGTGATGCTGCCCCCAAATGAAGATAACATTTTTGCTCTTTCTAAATGTTGAGCACACTCTGAAAGGCACTTGCAAGAAGCAGTACCTGTCTATTGATACACTGAGCATACAAATCATATATTCTTCCTGTGTCCAGGGAGATTCTGCTAGTGTATTTCATGCTGAGGAACTTGACTTCTGAAATCTTGGCCAGTATTATTATTTGTGGATAAGGGGGAATATTTTCTCTTGATGATTATGTTTGGTGTTGATGCATAGCTTTATGTTACAATTCCTGATGAGTGCAGGGTTCTGTGTTCTGCGAATGACACTACTTTCTGTCATGTTTGACAGACATGTTTCCTCTAGTCTCTTTCTAAGACTTGGGGAACATGGTGCTTTACATATGCAACAGGCTGTTCTTCGTTCCCCTGTAACTGTATTGTGTACGACACTGGGATATAACCTTTTCCTATGAGTTATACCTTCATCTGATGCAATTAGCTTGTTTGAAATTTGGTTAAGATTTCATATTGCAATTATTTTACAGACTCTATGGTATGCACCCTCTTGACTATACCCACATCCTCATGCATGTAAGCCCTAATCTGATTGCTTTCCTGGTATAATAATTCTTTCTTGTTTTATTATTTTTCTTTTGTAGATCATTGACAGTTTACATTCATCCAGAACAGGAATATGTTCATTAGTGAAGGAGCTATATTTCACCTTTGGTTGTTTTTTTTTCTTTATTATAGTTTCTTTAAACTATCACTTCGTACAGCCACTTGTGTTCCAGTGTTTACTTTGTATGTCGCTTGTAGGTCACCTGTGATTAATTTTCTTAGCCATACTTTTGAGTGGAGTGTCTTTCTTTACTATGTTCATAAATGACTTGCCCTCTTACTTTTAGGAATCCTAATATACTAGTTCTAACCCATGATTTTTCTGTTTTCTTTGCATAATTTGTGAAGTGACTGGATTTATTACAGTTTGTGAAATACTGGATGTTGTTGACCTTGATGATTACAGTTATTTCTTCTGTGCTTCCTTCAAGCACCCTTGTTGACAGTTCTCTCCTCTCCTATGTATGAGTCCATTCTTGTTCATAGACTTTCACTATCTTTTTAAATGATGAACCAAATAAC